TTTACTAAACATTTTTTTAAGGAATAAGCCATCTTAATTAATCAAGCAAAGTAAATAAAACAAGCAAAACTATAATATTAAAATTTAAGAGTTAGAACGAGTTTACCGAATTGACGAACAACTTGTTGAAAATTAATTATCGTTGAAGACTTCAATTCACCAAATTCACAATTTTGCACAAAATGTAATAATTAAGTAAGCAATTATAGAAGAATATTAGAGAGAGATTGATGATTTTGTGAGGAAAATGAAAGAATGAGGGGGTATTTATAGTTGAAAATAGGGAAAAAGTATAATTATAAAAAATTTGGGGGGTTAAATGGCTATTTTACAAATAGCCAACGACTATTTTGGCAGACCAAACGGCTAGTTTTTAAATGGCCAAACGGTTAAATTTTTTTAAAAAAAAATTATCCGTTGGGCCCGGATAGGACCGTTTAGGACCGCTTGAACCGGCCCACTTCTCAGCCGGTCCCGGTCCCAAACGGTCCAGGTTTCGCGAGCCTCCCCTATAGGACCGGCTCACTACCCAGCCCACCTCACCACGGTTTCGGTCCTATCCGGTTAGGACCGTTTAGGCCCACCATCCATTTGGGCTTGTGATCCTGGACCGGTCTCGGACCTAACCGGCCCACGTGCCACCCTATGCACGTCAAACAACTTCCACAACAACCTCCGTATTGATTACGGAAAGAATATCATTTCCAACGATCGAGTTAGCTTAATGGACGAACCGCGCAAGGAAATAAACAAGATAATAGTAATACTAAATATGTTTCATTTTCTATTCTATATATATTCTACTATCTTATAAGAGGGACTTTAACTTCTCTCATCTCACTCTTCTTGTTCTTATCGGTACCAGGCACACAGGTCTTTCAGAAACCTGGCAGATGGAGGTTCACTGATCAAAATGTTAACACCCGAGTTATATCAGAAAAGCTTTACCGTCTGCAAATTTCCGGTTTCACCTTCTCTGTCCTCACTTTCCTATTCTTATCTTTACACTTTGGTGAATTTTCCCATCCGGATCTTTGTTTTCCTGTCAGCTATCTTCTTCTCATCTTGTATTTCTCTGTTTCATCTTTTACTGCACTCTAAGACTTTGTTCTTTATGTGTTTGAGAAAATTCTTGAATGAATCAGTTGGGTGGTGACACATTTTTTAATTATTCCGTGTGGTAAAAGTGCACCTATCTACTGTATGAGAAGTGGCAAATCGAGTGAAGCATAATTTCTGCTCTTCAGAAATGGATGTCATGGTAATTTGTAGTTACCCGCGTTGGGGATTGCCGATTCAGATTTTGCTTTATCCTTTTACTTTATTTTCCAGCAAAATTCAAAGAGTTGGATTTCTAAAATCTCAAAGTAAAAAAACTAATCGAGGGTTGCAACGTTTGCCGGTTTAAAGAGGTCCTTTTTTGGGTATTTTGATTAGTTTTTGCCGCTGCTTTCTCTGAGGAACAAAGCGTTTGTTAACCCAGGGTTACACTTTACACTGTATGCTGGTTTCACGAAATACATATTTGTTTTCCTTTTTATGACCGATGGCAAATTTGTTTCGCATAAACCGTAATAGTTTGATTGGGGAAAAGCTTTGAATTTAGACACTAAGTTTGAGAAACTTCGATCTTAAAAAATTCTTGTAAGCCTTTTTGAGGTCGAGGAAATTTTGTGATCCTGGCCTTTGATTCCATGGTATCGAAAAGAGAAAAGGAAAGTATAATCCGATATTGTGCTATATAATATTTCCTTTTTTCCTTTGCATAAAGTTAGACCATAAATAGGTTTAACTTTATTTGATTTTTAAAATTATAACTGAATTACTGTTTTCCGTTAAAGCTCGGGATTTTACTCAATTCGTGCTCAATATTGAGTTCTGCTTGCTTAATACTTTTTCTCTGCAGAACCTTCAGCTTCTCACAATATATTGCTCAATATCTGTGTTGTATACTCTTTTTGTTGCATCATATTCAACTGGGAGTACTATAGTTATTAGTCAATATTTAGTTTGGTTGTAAGTTGTAAAGCAGGAAATGTAGTCAAGAGAAGATTCTTGATTTCCTTTTCCTTAAACATGTATACTAAGTTGGCTGCCTGTTTGTATTTCGCCGAAGCTCAATTTTTAGGCATTTGCTTGCCTCCATTGCATGCTAATGTAAAGTCTCTTTGAGAATGGATAGAAATTAGACTGTGTTGTACTTTGTTCTGATTGATCTTTATGATGTTAGTAGACTCAACTTCACAGGTTTATAAACTTTTTTGAAATAGCTAAGTCACAGTTGTCCTGTGTGAAAGGTAATTCGTAGTACCATAGTTTGTTTCATTTGGAACTCTTCTTTTGATTATGACAGGAGCGGCCTTGAATTACTATCATGATGTCAAAATTGACAAAGCGGTGATTTTTTCAGGGGTCGGATGCGTCTTGATTTTTTGTATAGGATCTGCTCACTGATAACAAAGCAGAATTTGATTGTTATTCAAATGACTCTGAAGATAGCATGAGTTATGCATCAATATGACCACACGCATCATTTATATGTCTTTACGAAATGGTCAATGACCATTAATTATGGGTTGGTCCTTTTTTCCCCTTCTTAAAAATAGTATATGAAGGCTGGTCTATATCTTTTTGTCTGAGGTTCATGTCATGACAGTGTTGAGAATAATGTATGCCTCGAAGGAGAGTACTGCCATTTGATGACTTAACCACTTTTGAAGTGACCACTCACTTCAATACCGATTTTCTATATTATTTCATTAGTTATACACCAAAATGGTGCCAAAATATTCAAGTGAGCGCTTGACTCAAGAACATTTATTTGACAAATTAACGACGTAATCTTAATTAACTATACACGGTATGTCCATATCACTATCTAGGGTAAGAATGCTTGAGATTGTTTTCAATGTTAGAATGTATACCACACTTCATCATTCTTATTTATGGATTGGGGGGAGGAGGGGGAATAGTTCTTATGGACTCAAATCTAAGGCGGAAAAATATCAACAACAACAACAACCCAGTGAGATCCCACAAGTGGGGTTCGGGGAGAGTAGTGTGTACGCAGATCTTACCCCTACTTCGGAGGAGTAGAGAGGCTGTTTCCGGTAGACCATCGACACAAGAAGGAAAGAGATAGTGTATCAGTAACAACAACGGAATCCAGAAAGATAACACCAGCGACACAATAATCAGAAAATAGAGAGCAAAATAGTAACACTAAGCAGTAACAAAGGCACAGTACTACAAACGCAAGGAATAATATGTACACAAAGGGCCACTAAACATACTACAACCTAACTTACGACCTTAATGAAGTATTAAGAACATAACTGGAGCCACTAGCAGCTTAAAACAAAACACTAACATACTAGCTTCTTATCTCCTAACCTATAACTGTAATGCTTGACCTCCATAACTTCCTGTCAAGGGCCATGTCCTCGGAAATCTGCGTCCGCATCATGTCCTGTCTGATCACCTCTTCTCAATATTTCTTAGGTCGCCCTCTACCTCTTCTCATACCCGTCAAGGCCAGTCGTTCACACCTCCTTACTAGTGCGTCCAGGTTTCTCCTCCCCACGTGCCCGAACCATCTAAGCCTAGTTTCCCGCATCTTGTCTTCCATGGGAGCCACGCCTACCTTTGTCACACCTTCTTTTTTCCGAGGGATAAGGGAGTTTTTCCAATTTAAGGACATTGTTCGAAATTGGATTATTTAATTAATCAGAGTCGCCACTTGGAATAATTTATTGTGTCCCAAGTCACCGATTTATTTTAAATCCCAAATCGAGAAAATTTGACTCTGTTTTAAGGTCTGCGAAAACCAGAAGTCCGAGTAAGGAATTCTGTTAACACGGGAGAAGGTATGAGGCACTCCCGGATTCCGTGATTTTAGTACGGTCGCTTAATAATCACACTTGGCTTAATTACCTGATTTATTATATGTTTGAAAACCTATTGTGCATTTTTTTACTTTCTAACCGCTTTTAATTTATTTTAATTACTTTTTAGAATTTATGGAATTTATTTAAATAAGCCGCGATGTCGCGCACTTATTGTTTTTTGTACACATTGCGAATCGCGTCACATGAAACGCATCCGCGATTTACAACATGTTTATTATTAATTATTTGAAGTTATGGTCAAATCGCGTGAAACGCGCACTCGAGTTAGGATTTATGTATTGTGACCATGCCACGAGAACCGTACCCATAGTCATTCATTATTAACCGCGCCTAAAATAAGCCACGATGTTTGTTTATTTATTTTTTCTAAGGTTTGAGATTATCGTAACGTCATGAATTTATGGAGTAAAGAATGTGGAAAGAGTGTAAGATTCCCACTTAAATTATTTACAAGGCCAAATTATTACTAACTTGTGAAAACTATTTACAATGACCAAATTATTATCATTCTATATCTCAAAATTATATTAATATCACTTAGTTATAAGAATTGGGCTAATTACACTTCTAAAAAAAATCGGCAATTTATTGTTAAGAAAGTAGGCAAGTCCTCTGACTTAAGAATTCTGATTTTGGCCATTTTTATTGTATTATAAATGTAGCTTCTATTATTTCAAAACCATAATCACTTCATTTTTAAAAACCTATTAATTCCTATGACTAAATGAGGAACAGTAATGTCAGTACTAGAATCTTAATCATCAACAAACGAACATCAGTTTTTATTCCTGATTATTCACACAAAATAAACAAAATAACAAGACAAATTTAATGAGAAAAATAACACCTCAATGACATATGCTCAAATAGACCAAATATATCGTAACAGTGAACCATTCATAAGGAACCAACACAACACGGTTTGAATTCACTCGAATAAATCGAAAAAAAATGAGGATAGAAATGGACCTCATAAGAATTTAGTAAAAAAGATCTTCTCCTTACATTTGAAAGTTGTCGGTACAGTAGTAATGAGTACTCAAACCAAAGACCCGATCGGAGTTTCGAACCAAGATCTCGCCGACAAACTCGAACTCGACTGTTGACTCTACTGTTTGGCGTGTAAAAAAGGATGTTATGAAGTATTTTTGTTGGATTTTGGGTGATGAATTGCTGAATTTTTCGAAAGAAAGACGAAGAAAGAATGGCACGAGTAAAAATTCTCTTAACGTAGAAGAAGAAAAATAAATTTCTCTCAATTCCCTCCTCTCTCTTTTTTTCTCCTTTCTCTCCCTCCTTTTTTTCCTCACATTTTTCTTCTATTTATAGAGAAAAAAATCGGAATTTTCAGATTTTTTATTTATTTTTTATTTTTAATTAAAAAGAATTTTCACTTCCTATTTTTCTTATTTTTTTAAAAAAATAATTCTCCACCGTTATTTACTTTTATTTTTTAATTTTTTACTTTTTTTTACTTTTAATATATTTAAAATCTCACTTTTTTTACTTTTCTTTTTTTATTTCCCACTTATTTTACTTCTTTTTTTTTTTAACTTTTACTTACTTTTACTTTTATTAAAAAAAAAATCAGATACCCTTACTTTTATTTTTTAATTTCAACTTTATTTTACTTTTCATTTTTTTAAATTTTCACATTCTTTTACTTTTATTTTTTTAATTTNCAAAAATTAGGTGGTCACAACTTTCACCTAAATATTTTATTTCTAATCTTATCTAGCTTAGTGCGTCCGCACATCCATCTAGTATATACTTATACAGTAGAGCGCAGAAGCAGCTCTCCGTCGACATCCCTACTTGCCGACCAAGGGGTATTTTAGTCATTTTAGTCTAATTTTGTGTTGAATTCTCTATTACTATGTCCTTATATCTTATAACGCATGCTACTTAAATTAACGAGGGTTACATAGTCATTTTATACCTATACAACCTGACAGCACCGCTCCACAGCTCATGTGATTCTCTCTCTTCAGTATTCTCAACTTATTATCTGCGATACAAGTTGCAACCCCGTTCCTCCATGGATTTTGCCGTACTTTCGCATTCATAGCTTAAATTAATTCAACTTCCATTTGTGGATGCTCTACCATCTTCTTCACAAGATAAATTGGGGTTTGGACTTCTTCGCTGCTCTAACTTTGTTGCATCAAGGTAATCACTTCGTTTCAATTTACTTCACTGATTTGTACTATTTCATCTCCGCTCTTCATCTGGTAGGAATTTTCATTTTAGAGAAAAAAATTATTTGACTTTCCCCTATTTTGAATTTGCATAGTTGTCGAAACTCTGAATAAATGGGTTTTTGTTGCTTCGTTGGAACTGAAGAAGGGGGCGGGGGAATTCACAACGGTGCTTGCTTTAAATTTTAGTATTTTTACGGAAATTTATTGTGAATATTGGTGTGGATTTAAGGATTTTTACATAAATTTTATTGTGAAAATTGGTATGTAGAAATTGTTTTTATTATTCTTTGTGTCAGGAGGGGAGGTTAGTTGCGTTCTTAGGACTCTGTGTGTTGAAGATTTTCTGGTATTTGCATTAAAACAGTGTGTTTCAATCTCTAATTTTTGGTACAATTTTTTCAACTTTAGTGGTAATGCATTGGTAGGGCAAACCTCTAAATCTAAGTTTTAAATAATGAAGCTTTAGAATGCACTCATTTCCAAGACGGAGGGAAAATTGGATTACTGTGATGAACACTTTTGTTGGTTATTGCACATTGACACATGTTAACATAATAGTAAATCTGATAGGGCCAGGGGAAGAGATGGCTTTCGCTAATCATGCTATAAGAGAATTATATTTTGTTGTTGTTGGCGTTCCACATGTGCCTTAACTATCTTCAGATCTTCTTATTGAACTACCTTCTCCAAATGGTTCACATCATTATGGATTATGTTTTACCGGTCTTCCCTTGGATGGACTGCTTTGTCAGTAAAGCAACAAGCATTTAGCTATATAAATGATCTGCTTCAAATGAAAGGGCAAATTAACCAAAGAATGAAACTTCTAATAGATTGTGTGGGTTGCTCTGATGGTAAGCACCCTCCACTTTCAACCAAGAGGTTGTGAGTTCGAGTCACCCCAAGAGCAAGGTGGGGAGCTCTTGGAGGGAAGGATGTCGAGGGTCTATTGGAAACAGCCTCTCTACCCCAGGGTAGGGGTAAGGTCTGCGTACACACTACCCTCCACAGACCCCACTAGTGGATTATACTGGGTTGTTGTTGTTGTTGTTGTTGTTGTAATGAGACTTCTAAGAGGAAGAACAACTTGGAAGACCGTGCCAATTCGCAAAATATTTAGCATTATGTTAGGAAGAGATTAAGCTAATCCACTTGAACTTACTTAGGAATATTGAAATGAATTAATTCTAGAAAGGGATAGATTTAAGAAATACTTGTTGCCTTTTGTCCTAATTTCAGGAAGCTTTCGGGTGTAACACATTGCTTTGCTTATAACAAGACAAATAATAGGCCTATCTTTCTTGACTACGATGGTACTAAGATGCCTGAGGATAAGGTGAAAAAATTCCTTGGTAAAGAATTCATCTCAGTTTTGAATGGTTATTATACACAATATATCGTTCTACCATTAGTTTCAAATTTTATGTCATTTTGTTTAATTTCGATTCCAGAAAATATTTCAAAAGCATCCTATGTTTTTGTAGCGTTGAAAAATGTAAAACAAATGCAACTGGTTTTACAATACTTAAAGAGGAATGTATACTATTGAAAGAACACGAAAGTAAGCAAAAATAATGGGAATTGGTACAGTACCATGGGTCCTAGAGCTTCTACAATAGATAGTTTTCATATAATTTGGTGGATGTGGGTAGGGATTTTACAGTGAGTGGCAGGGGTAAGGATTCTTTGAGCCACTGGTTATCTCCATGTCCAAGACTCGGCTATCAGCTGAACATGGTTATTTTAAAAGGTTTGACATTGTTGCTACTTTGGTTTCATTAACACAGATTAGATTATTATCTTCTTCTGTCTTTTTCAACTAACTGTTTGTATCTCTTTAATTTAATCCTTTATATATGTGGAATAGGATTTACAATGGGAATCACGCCCAACAGCTGCAGACATGGACTGAAAAGAGCAACATTACCTATTATGGAGCTTTATACAGAAGCAAGAGATGGTTAGTCAATAGATCAAAAGGAAAGTGCTCTGGCATGGCATACTCAAGAACCCGATCCTAACTTTGGTGTATGGCAAGCAAAAGAGCTTCTTGATCATTTGGAGAGTGTACTGGATAATGAGCTTGTCAACACATGGTGGAGGTGAAACCACATGTATGAGAAAAAGGATGATGGTTGAATAATATTTCAAACTCGATGAACTAAAGTGGATACTAACCTTATTCATTTATTGCAGGATTAAGCCGAGGCATAGTTGTTCGGAGTCTAATGGCGTCAATGAAGAGCAGAGGGTAGCCACCACTTTTTTCTATGCATAAGCGATGGCATATCCGACAAAGACATGTTTGAGAGAATTGCAAGTCATCTATCAAACCTCTTTTTGCTTGATAAAGTACAAGTGTTTGCATCCAATGTTGATCAGAAACCAAGTATGGCCTAATATTATCTTAATGATATAGTTGAAGTTACAAAAATGCTTCAACACCTTTCAAAAGCAACTGCAACATCATCAGCTACCGCCTAAAAAGCCAAGTCATGCAACCTCCCTTAAATTTGTATTGTATAGGTAGTCATACTGCTTATCTACAAAAACTATTCAAAACTGACAACTCTTTCCGGAAAACCCATTAGAAAGTAATTTAATGGTAACTAATATGAGTTTAGGCTACAAAAAAGTATTATTTCATGACCTTAAGGAATTCCAATATAGGTTTCCTTGGTTCATACTACTCTATGGTATACATTGTTAGAATACTCGATATAGATTTCGGACCTCAAGGTGCAAGTGCATTTACATTATATAGATAATGGGAGTCATTTAATCCCTGATTGCTTCCCAGTTCTTCATGTGCTTCTCTTCTCGATGAAGTTCATTTGCTTGTTGATGTTGATGTGATTAAAAAACTTGGTGCTTGCTGAAAATTCTCTTTGTCAAGTCGATTCTTGCTTAACCCCATATCTCCAAAATTTTCTATGTAAAATACAATTCATAGCACGACGGAAATCTAAGTGTTTCAAATAAGTTCTAACTTGTTATAGTGCTATCTGGAATTTTGTTAGAAAACTAAGAGGTATGAATGTCAAAAGCATGTATATTTTTCCTTTTGCATATGATGTTAGAGACAGAAAAATAGTAAAGTTCACCAAATTTTTTCATAGTGTTTATGTTATCTTTGACAGGTAAAATGGGATGAGTACTTTGTGCAGCTTTTTACTTTCTTTTTTTATGCATGTAGGAGCTTCTTCAAAAGCTTTTGATTATGATTTGGTTATTATTCAAGCTGGTGTTGGTGGCTATGGTGCTGCTCTTTGCTCCATCAAGAAAGTAAACCACCTTGCTGTAATTCTGTGGTGGATTGAGTTATATAGGTGTTGGTCTTCGCTTCTGCTCTTAGTTGCAGAAGAAGACTTGTGAGAGCACCTCTATTTTATTTTGTTAAGATGTATAATTCATATTCAGTTGAATATTATCCCAGTATAATGCAAATAGTCGGCAACGAATATACAACTGCCTAAGCAAAACACCCTATAGCCTAACGAAAGAATAAGTCATGGAGTACCAGAATCTGATAAGTGTGCGTATTTGTGTGGGAACCAAGTATAGGAGAGTAACATATATGTTTTAGAACCCACACTCCCAATTCATCACAGTCAAGCTTGCCAAAAATCCTACTTCTACAATTGGTAGGTCACCGGGTTATTCAAATAAGTCGTGTTTTCCGTGGTTTTCCCATGTTACAACTTCCGTATCAATTCGGTCGATCCGGAATGGATCGGTTAAACATTCCATTAGGGAGCCTGGTCTTGACTCTTCTGTGTGGTATACATTCTCGTTCGGCTCTTGGTCTTTCCTTCTGCCTCCCCAGTTCAACAATAAGATTCTATCTTCTGATTAAGCAAGATCTTAGTCATTTCGCCTTTGTGTGATAACTCTATCTTTCTGGAAGCTACCTTCCGCCTATCCGGAGTGTTGGAAATATAGCAATATTTTTTGTATTTTTTATTTCCCGATCATTGGAAGCAATCTTCACTGGCACAAGGATCGGCGGCGGGGATTCGAATTCCCTTGGGGGGTATAGGTACTACGAAAGGAAGTTGATCACGGAGAGAAGGGCCTTTGTCTGGTTCAGTTTCGGATCAAGAATTTGAACATTAAGTATTTGAATTTGAGATTCTACTACTATCTATTTCATTATTTTATTTATCAGGTTTGAAATTTATTATTTATACTTTTTTGTGGATCTTTTAGCGCATGCACACAGAGCAAAACTTACTAGCTTCGAAATTAACTTTTAAATTATCTTCCTCACTGCCCCTATAAAAAAACCATAATTCGAATCAAATAATTAAGAGATTATAATTCAAATTACAGTGGTTAATAGATCACAATTTAGATCTCATTTGAATGATTTAGTTAAGGACATTTCTAGTTTCATCAACTCTGTTTCGAGTTTCAATATCTAACGAAAGGTCTCTTGACGACTTGTACCAAGCAACCTCTTTCCTATTCTTTAATCATTAACAAGTCTTTTACATATTTATTAGTCGATTGTCGAATTGACCACAAGAAGATTTGGTAGAGACGCAAATACAAAATTTGTATTTTGGCAGTCAGAAGAATATTCTTTTTAGGCACCCCACAATTCGTGCTTTTGAAATTTTTATTCGAATATATCTTTCATTTAGACCTTAGCCGATCTGTATACTTAGGATCGGGAACTCGGGTAGTGCGGAATTTAACCAAATAATGTTATAATGATAATAACAAAGACAATACAAGTTGATAACAACGATAATTAAAGCATATAAAAAAGACATCAATTTAACGTGGTTCGGTCAGTGTGACCTACGTCTACAAACGGAGATAGTAAATTCATTATAGCAACACAAGAGTACAAAAGAGCGTACAAAATTAGAGTAAATACTCTAATTAATCCCAAATATCCCCCGAGAGAATAACCTCACAAGATCACTCCAAAGAAAGGGGATCACACAAGTGTTTCCCAACACTCAACTCTCTTACAAAATACTCTCAATTACTAAAGGAGGAGAAGAAACAAGAAATGAAGACTCAAGTCTTGTTGGTGTGTTTAAAATGAATTAATGGTCTTTCCTTTTATAGGCAAAAAAGTCTTGGTCTCTTAGTTGTAAAAGAAAAGATACAACTTGTGCAAATGATATCCACCACACAATGTAATATTTTTGGGTCCCAAAATATATTGCCAACAAAGTCTACTTTACAAATAAGCTTATGAGATGAATTTCACTAGCGAAAATATTGGTCATAATTACACTTTTAACTCGAACATAAAATACCTTTGTTAAAGTTCGTTAGGATTTTTAACGCATTACAATGCAGTTTGTGTTTTATTTTTAACATATTAATGTGGAGATTGTATAAATAGACAACGCTATCGTTCAAATCAGAAAGAAATGATTAACTTGTTCAATCTAAAAAATAGTTTTCTCTTGCATTTTTTAAGTTGGATGAGCCAGTAAATAGTTGGAGATAAGAATATAGAGTTTGAGTGAACTTTTTATGGGATTAGAAGACAACACATTGTCCAGAAAATAGAAAACGACGAGACATCACCTTGATAGGAGTAATTTCACCAATAATCACTCAACCTATATTTTATTGCATCAAAGTTATTAAACTATTTGTTACAGTAAAAAGTCACTCAATTGTGCTTAAATATATGCAGTACGACTAAACTACCTTTAATTAAATATTAATGTGAGGAGTAAGAAAACTTTTTAGGGATATGCACGTAAGGGTAAAAGAGTAAAAACAAATTGAATTTTTTCTTGATTACATAAATGGACACTTATTTTGGACAAAAATAAAAAAGCAAATTGGTCACTTATTATGGACCGGAGGGAATATGTCAAATATTTCTTTGTATCCTTTTAATAATTTCGTGTGATATTTAGGGAAAATTGAGTGACTTTTTGGCTACAACAAAATAGTTTAGTGATATTTGTGATACTTATGTGATATTGAGTAATCTTTTTTATTACAAAATATAGTTTAATAACTTTGGTGTAATAAAATAAAAGTTGAGTAATTACAAAGTTAACCCGACCTTAGTGAAGTGTGAAGTTGTAATCATTAGGCTATAATTCTAAGGGAGAATTACATTCCTTATCACGTGGCTCAATAGCCCATCGCAAAATTATCCATGTTACATATAATCTGAAAATTACTTTTCACCCGTTAGCCCACCCCTTTTAATTATTTTTTCCTTTTCTTCATTCTTCTTCTCCTCGTATCCCGACTTTGCACCCAAACTTTCTCTATCATTATTATTTTCCTTCAACTCTCCTTCCAGATTCAACTAATAATCGCTATTTGGATGAAGAAGAAGAACTAATACGTAAAAGAATTAGTTTTTTGGAGTCATATGAAGATCATTTCCTCCATTGGAATTGAAAGAATTATGTTTGCACTAAAGAAGTTAACTTGGTAGGTTGTTGGATCACCGAACTAGAAAGGTATTGGCATGGTCCTAGTCTTATCCTCATTCCACTTATAATTTTAATCCTAGTGGTTGATTAAAAACTTAAAAATAGAAGTCTCCATTAAAGGTCGTTCAAATTAAAGCTTCGATTTCAGAAATTGCCTTTTCTGATTTGTTAGTTTTTTGGATTGGGTATTGTCCCAATTGATTGGAATCATCAAGAGAAGTTCAAAACTTAAATTTGAAGTGATTTTGAGTAGATTTAGGCTAAATTTGAGTTAATTTTCAGAAGATCCCCAAGGAAGAAGAAAAATTTGTGAAGCTCTATTGATCTGATTCATTTATATAATAGTGTATAATATTGTATAAATAGTATATAGTAGTGTATAAATAACTCTTATACACTATTGTATACATGGTTGATATATTATTTACATGTATTTGATGAAGTTCTCACATTTTCTTCTTCTACACCTATATACATAGTATATCACTAACATTTTTTTACGGTGCTTATACATCTTTATATAATTTTATATAACTAGATACATAATGTACCTCTTTGTATAAAAGTGTATAACGTTGTATAAAAGTATATAAGCATCTCTGACGAACTTCTTGTACGATTTTCACTTGCAACTCTTATTCAAAACTAGTCCAAATTTTCATCAAACGACTTCAAACTTTGTATACAGCCTACTTAACCTATTTCTAATAAGTTCAAACAATACCCACTCCAAATTTCTCACAAAATCATATTTAAAATTTAACAAGATTAGCATTGAAGAAGATGAGATTTTAGGTTTTTCGTGTCTGTTTTTGCGTTTTTTTAGCTTGAATAGGTATGTATAAACTTGAGGAAAAAGGCAAATGAAAACTCAAGGATATTTCACGCCTGAAGATCTGGAGAATAAAAAAAACTTTTTTCGGATCTGAGTGTATTGATATTTGGCTACACATTTACAAATTTGTAACTATGCTAAAATACTCCAAGGTCAGCTTATGAAGTGATCTATTGTGTAGTTCTTCCATAATTCTAATGCCAGTTTAAACATTAGTGTAATGTGACGTTGTCTCAATTTATATGATGCGTTTTCCTTTTTAGTATATCTAAAAAAGAATGATACTATATTTAAAAATAACTAAACTTTAAACTTTTCGTTTTAACTTTAATGGATAATTTATAGCATACAAATATTTATGACGTATTTTTTATAACCGTGCGTTCGAGACATCTAAAGCGCACCTCGACTAATACTACAGGTACAGAGGCGGGGCCAAGATTTGAAGGTAATGGGTTCGAATTTTTTTTCTTTCTAAGTTACTAAGTTCTAAATTAATAATTCATACATATTCAATACATTTTAAAGACAAATATAGAGTTTAGACCAAAGCTACTGGGTTTAGCCTAACCCGCGTTCGAAGCTCTAGCTCCGCCCCTGCTCATGTACTTTCTAACTCACACCAGCACTCGTACTAATGATTCTGTCTACTAAAGCATGGATAGATGCGAAGAAATCATCTACCGCAGCTGTAGCAACCCATTTGGAGGGGAGGGGGGTGCTACTTACGAAACAAATCTAATTTACTACTTACAACATTAAGAAGACATTAATTAAAAAAAAATATTCAGAATAATTTAGTAGCGGAAATAGGCCCATGCGATGAGGTTCAAAGTACAATATATATATATATTTTTAAAATACTCTTCATAATTTTTTTTAAAAATAAAATACAATGTCAAAATATCAACATAAGGTGATATAACCCTTCTTGAATAATCAACATCACTGCAAGTTTGTATTGTACATAAATTTCAAACTATCGGGTATAAAAAGGAAAACTAGTTTTCTCCTTTGTACATATATATAAGACAAAGTGTAAATTCAATATATTACAAGACTTGAGTTATTAACACACCTTAAAACAGCAAAATAAGTTACCAAATTCAAGTTACAAGATTTTGGTCTTAATATCCAAACCTCCAAATAACATACATAAGTGTGACATATATATATCATGTACATGTCCCAAAACTATACAAAACCATGGTGCATATGCAAATATGATCTCCATAAGTGCTCCCACAAAGACTACTTCAAAAGGCCATTTTCAAATTTCATCTCGTACATTACCTACGATAGAAAACAACTATTGCTAAGCATAAAGCTTAGTGTTGTACAAACTTTAGGCTTGGATTTATTAACTTCTCCAATTCTCATTTTCAGTCATAGGTAGCTCAAATAAAACATAATTTAAAACAAGTAAATAAATATATCAAAAGTATCAAATATTGCTCCTTGAAGTGTTTTCAAATATCAATAACAATGTTCAAGATTCAAGAGTTGAGAAAGCATATACTATCAATCCAAGAAAGCTTATCAAATATTCATTTTTCGCCCAATATGTACGTCATGCCATCACACTAAGCAAAATCAGATATCAAGATGGACTGAAGTCCCAAATCAAGTAGGGTCAAAACCCAATAGTCAAGAGAATCAAGAACCATAATAAAAATGGCTTCCTAGTTCGTATTTAACATGGACAAGTTCCATAATTTAAGACGAACTACAAATCTAAAGTCAAGATGACAAAAGATCCAAATCATGAGGCATGCCAAGATGAGTGAAAAAGTCACTTCCATATGAAGGACAAAGTCCT